CTGGGGAATTCTGGGAGTTGAAGTCCACCCATCTTCAAGGTGCCAAGGTTGAGCAACACTGGTCTAGTTTATGGGATGTTAAAACAGCAGAGCACCCGTTGCTGTGTCTTTGTTCATATGTAAGTGCTTGTAACTGAAAGAGATTGCATGTACACCTATATAGATACATATATACATGTGGGCTCTTACATCTATTACTAAAGGTTGTTTCCTCTGCAGAATTTCGTTATTCTGAGTTGCAACCCTTCTCCTGGAACCCCATCCCAACCCCCCCCCACACACACACACGCACACGCACACACACCCAGCATCGTTAGAAATCGTGATTGCTGTGGAAATTATAGAGGAGCGATAGAATTACTACTGAGCGGGATCGACGCACACTGGCCTCGCTTTGTTAGACAGCTAATGAGTGGGAGACAGCGAGGCCACAGCAAAGTGGAGCGGAGAGAGAAACGAATGTCTTTGTCGAAGAAAATTTGCTGGTTTCCGCTGGCTGTTCCCAGAGGAAGTTTTGGGGGGGGGATTAATTGAATTAGGGGCAGACGTGGCAAGTGTCGTTGGCCAAATCTTGCTCCTTTTCATCGGAGGGGAGAGCAATCATGATTTCAGTCGATTCTGGGACCCATCTGTGTGGTCGGCTTGGCGCAGTTTACAAACGGGTCTGCGTTTTGCATGAAGTCTTTTTGGGGAGCATCTGGACCTCGTGGCCACCTGCCAGCCCAGAGCCCGCTCTTGTTGATGCTGAGGAAGGTTGGCTGAGGTCATGCTTTGCTCCACAGCTGAATGAAGTATGCAGGTGAGGAACTGGGCATCTGATACCCTGAATTCTGTGCTAATCAGCAAGAGACACTGGAAAATCTCAGATGTCTGTCTTCCTGCTTGCCCATCTTCTCCAGGACCAGAGGGAATGGAGGAGTTAGGGAGAAGAATCCAAGAAGAGGCATTTAGGCCCAAAGTCTGCAGTCCCCATTAAGACTCAAATAAGCTGTTGCTGCCTGGAGTCACGGCTTGGGAGTGGATGGGGGCCACTTTGCTGCCAGCCACATGGGGTGGCCAATTTAGCCAGTTAGCCATGGGATTATGGGAAATGAAGAAATCGTATTGGTGGGCACGGAGATGAAGGTGGGGAAGGTGCAGAATAAGCCTGGCTTTGCCCTTGTTGGAATTCTCCTTAATTAGCGGTCCACCTTTGTTTGCTAAGGACCATCTGCTGGCCATCATTTCTGATGCTGATAAGGTGCCTCCCTGATGGCAGATTCATAATGGATCTGCACAGCTATGCTTGGGGAGGACAGGCAATACCTCTAGAACCAATGAGATGGTGTTGTGTGGCTGCCTTGTCAGTGAGAAGAGGGGAATTGTGACTGGGAGATTCAATGGCAGAGGGTCTCAGATTTGGAAGAACAACGAGCTTATACTTCAACTGCCCAGTCCTTGTTTTTCTGACCCAGCAGCTGGTTCTTTCATAGACATCTGAAAAACAGACCTTTTTCAAATAATGGTTTTGCTGAGCAAAAGGTTGAGGACACCCCAGCTTTTACTGGGAAATCTATGGGTGTTCTTCCTGGAAATTTTGCTAAATAGCCTTGGTTGAGGTTTATGCAGCGAAGGGTGGTGTGTAGAAGGGGGCGAAGCCACTTTTCTCCTCATCTGATATTAAAAGACCTTGGGGTCACCCATCAAAGCAGAAGATTGGGACAGAGTAGAAGTATTTCTTCATGTAGGTTCAACTGGGAATGATGGAATGTGTGCAATAAGATAAAGTCAGTAACTTTAGTGGTAAAAGCAGGAAATCCATGCAAAATACAATGATCAAAGCCTGCTGGTCACGATAGTGTTGCATTATCTTCAGGATAGGAGGTCATTTGTCTTTCAAAACTAATTGCAAATAAATGCTAGGGAAGACCATGAAACAGATTGCCTGAGGATGGACCCAGAAGGCTTTTTATATTCCCTGAATGTAGCAAATAAGCACATTCTACTGCAGAGCTGGTGATAGAAATCAAAGTCTATTTTGTCATTCTTATCCAGTTAAGGTGATACTTCGACCTGAGTATGAAGTGCTCAGTGAAGTCTCAGTTCTTTACCAAAAAATGCAATCTTTCTACAGTCGGTTGGACTTGGAATTTTCCAACCAACTTAATAGACTTTTGTTAAGATTTAAGAATTTGTCTGGGTATGTGGATAATTTCTCCAAATATTGGAAGTGCATTTTACATAGCCAGTTTAAAGGCTCCTCATAGATTAGAAACATGTCCAAGGTTTTTAAAGCATCTTCATGGCTGGCCATTGTAATGTCTTCTTGTTTTTTGTACACAGAGGCCAGATGTATTTTTGACTTCATCAACCACAAGTGGTCTTCCCGTCCTGGATCCAAAGTTGGTGGGACAGCTTGGGACTATCAAGGAACCATGGACAAGACCATCTTCCAAAACCGAACAGAAGACCTCTGTCGTTTCAGCCATAGATGATGTGAGTGGCTTCTTTTCCTAGTTTTTTATGCTTCCCATTTCCTAGAAGCCCCACCAACAACATCATATAGCAAAGCTCCCTTCGGTTGTGAAGACAGTAGAAATTATGTTATCCTTGTGATATCTGGTTGTTTCCAAGAATAAGCACCAGAATGGGTTGCATGGAGGTAGGCTCTTAAAGCAGACACTTTAAGGGCTAATCCAACATCAGAATCCTAAAATAGTAGCTTGGATGGTATGCAATGACTGCAAAACATACAAATGCAGGATCTATACCAGATATTTAAACACAATCTGTTTCTAGAAGCCGAAATGTCATAGGTACATCCATGCTGGAGCCAGTAATAACTTGGCATCATTGAGTATATGCCAAGCTCCTTCCCTTCCCTTCCCTCCCCTACCCCCACCCCCAAGTGTGTTGGAGTCTCTTGGTCCTTTTCTTCTGCTCTTCACCTGCTTTCTCCAATTATTCAGGAAGAGATAAGAGGGAATAGATGAATGGTTGTATGGATTGGTGAACTCAAGGGAAAGAAAAATTGGTGGGCATTGGCAACCGTGACCAAGTGCAGATGAGGCCTATTTGTAGAAGAAACCCACCAAAGAAATCATGCCCAACCCCTCCTGCCCCCCGAAAAGGCCTGAAACATGTAAACAGTAAGGGATGGGTCACCCCAAAACTAATTTTAACTGTTGATGCGATTGGGATCATCCCATCAATTTGATTCAGTAAAAAAAAAGGGGTCTATGTGTAAATGCTGTGCACGTTCAAAGTCCCACAAACTGATAAATCAGTCTAAACGCCTCCAGTCTGATCTGATGCATTGAACGGATTTGGGGATGTGATTCAAAAGTGGGAATGAGACCGCATCCCCATCTAATCCAATCTTCGAATTGAATTTTCTCACGGCCCGAGAAATTCTTCTCTGACCTCATTCAGAGAAGTAACTCGGCTGCCTAGGTTTCAAGGCTTTCAGCGAGATAACAAGTATTCAGTTCTGAACCCATTTAGCCCATTCTTAGCTATTACAGCTACATTACCTCTAGACCTCAGGCCCACTTCCAGCCCATAACTGTCAGCTCCATGACCATAAGGCTGACATCAGCAAAACCTGGAGGTGGATAAAATCATTTGTCTGGGCTCCCAGACCCACCACTGGCTAAGTGAAGGCCTACATTCCATCAATGTGAATGTAAAAAACAGACACGAAAACGTAACACGGTCTTATAGCCCAGCTATTACATATCTAGGTGGACTCAGAGAAGCAGGAAGGAGTTACAGAGAAAGCAAAGAGGAGGTGGCTGTTACGTAAAGCCCTTGGAAAGGGAGAGGTTTCTACACCGCACAGAACGTCTGTTCCTCATGTTGGTCAAGCTCCTCCATGTTGCCATAAAGCTGGGTTGGCTGCAATCACTGTCTGGGTCAGACTGTAGCAGTTGCAAAGCCTAACAGAACTGGCATGATGGGAAGGCAATAGAAAGGTTGGGTGAAGAAAACAGCACGGGGGAGACCCGGAGCCATGCTGGCTGAGCAAGCGTGTTGAGGCAACAGCCAATTTGCAGCCAAATTTGGGGAGATCTTCAACAGCCCTGCGTACGCAGCCTTCTGGTACAAACTGGGATGGTGAAAAAAATGACGAAACGTGAGCCATCCAAAGCCCAACATTTCCTAGTTGTGTCCCAGCATGTAAGTCACAGATTTGCAGCATGACATCACCGATGTCCCAGATGCTTACACAACTTAGCTAGCAAGCAAGCTGCTATTGGGTACAACCTGCCATTGTAATGTTCAGTATGGTTTCCCATAAATTGCCTATATCCACCATGCATTTTTGTGAAATATATTTGGCCTCCTTTCACTCTTCTGGGTCATCATCTGATATTAGTGATGGATCACTCAGACTGAAATCTGGGAGAACTGGAGAAGGAGAGAGGGGAGGAGTGATTTTCTTTCCCAAAATGGAGTGTTTGCATGAATTCCCTAAAACTGTGTGTGCAGGCATATGGGAGGGTAGTAAAAAAGGACAGGAATTTTCCAGACACACACATGCTACTCTTCTTTAAATTACAGTTTCTTGTGATGCTTTTAGGTAGATAATTTGTATTTCCAATTGATAATGTGGCCTTGAGAGCCACATTGGTGTAGTGGTGAAGGCATCAGGCTAGAAACCTGACCATGAATTCTAGTCCTGCATGAAGCCAACTGGGTGATCTTGGGCCGGTCACTCTCTCTCAGCCTTAGGAAGAAAACAAGAGCAAACCACTTCCGAAATCTTGCCAAGAAAACTGCAGGGACTTGTCCAGGCAGTCGCCAAGAGTCAAGACTGACTTGAAGGCACGAGAAGAGAAGAGAAGAGAAGAGAAGAGAAGAGAAGAGAAGAGAAGAGA